GGAAAATCAATCATAGATGAAATTTGAGTTGGACCATGTTATCAAATAACACATTTTTAAATTAACAATGCATGAATTGCATATAAAATGACAATTGTACATTTAAGATTACAAAGTAGTGCTTAGATAATATTTGATTAGATTGGATTGGGCAAGGCTGGACTAGAAGAAATGGACAAATAATTATATTGTCTTGCATTTTTGTATGCTTTGAATTAGATTATAAAATTTGCTAAATACAGGAACCGACTAATTCAAAGTCTAAACTGTTATGAGTTTAAAAAAAACAAAGATAGAATTAACTTGATTTAACATAATAAAAAATTCAAGTTAATTTGTGATCCGGTCGATTGAAAATAAAACATAGGTCAAAAATCCATTATTTTCTTATATTTTTTCAGTAACTTAAACCCTACTCCAAGTCGATTATCAAGACAGTTTTTAAAATTATAATAATAATTATTTTTATTTTTATTTTGGTTCAGATCAACTTAAGTTAACTTTTCTGATTTATAGCCCGAGTTTTATTCTGGATTAATCTCTAAGTAAAATTTAAAAACAATAATAATTATTTTCATTTTTATATTAGTCTGAGTTAATATTTTTAATAATGAATGGAAAAACTTGGAAAGGGATATTACGAATTAACTAGTCAAACTTGCGACATGACTCGGATTCAATTAGATTCAATAACTTTTTTATTAAAATTTTTCGAACTTAACTAGAAAATAGCAATAATAATAATAAAAAAAAAACTAAAAAGAACCAAGGCAAATGAACCTACTAGCGCAACGTGTTTGGAACCCGACTAATTCAAAGTCTAAACTATTATGAGTTTTAAAAAAATAAAGATAGAATTAACTTGATTTGACACAATAAAAAATTCAAGTTAACCTGTGATCCGATCGATTGAAAATAAAACATAGGTTAAAAATCCATTATTTTTTTATATTTTTTCAGTAACTCAAACCCTACTCCAAGTTAATTATCAAGACAGTTTTTAAAATTATAACAATAGTTATTTTTATTTTGGTTCAGATCAACTTAAGTTAATTTTTCTTATTCATAGCCTGAGTTTTATCCTGGATTAATCTCCAAGTAAAAATTTAAAATAATGATAATTATTTTTATTTTTATATTGATCCGAGTTAATATTTTTAATAATGAATTGAAAAACTTGGAAAGGGATATTACGAATTAACTAGTCAAACTTGTGACATGACTCGGATTCAATTAGATTCAATAATTTTTTTATTAAAATTTTTTAAACTTAACTAAAAAATAGCAATAATAATAATAAAAAAAACTAAAAAGAACCAAGGCGAATGAACCTACTAGCGCAACGTGTTTGGACATTAAAAATAAATGGGAGTTTTATAAAAACAATAAATGATGCATTGTCTAGTTTCTACATATTCTAGGACGTCTAGAAAAAATAAGGGCTTGATTTGTTTTTCTTAAGAACCTATTTTGAATCCAAGATGTTTAGAAGATACCATAAACATCTGGATAGACCCATCAATTATCTTAAAAAAATCAAAAAATCAAAATCAATCTAATCCAAAAATATTCGAAGCCACCACTTTTTTTACTGTTTTTAACCCAATCCTCTCTTTCAAAAAATATATGCAATTAGATATTAATTTATATCAAAAAAGGCTCAATCATACGAAACAGAGAGAGTTAAAGAATCAAATTGAAAATATAGAAAAAATCCATAATTTTAATCCATAATAATTTATGTCCGAACATTAAATGCAACACGACTTATTTTTTATTAATAAATGCAAAAGCAATATAAGTATTTTTGGTTGAAAAATAAAATAACAATAGAAAATAAATGTCTTTAAAATGATTTTGAAGTAAATCTTCTTATTTTAGAACCAAAAAAATCATAATATACAGTAACCAAATGTTATCCTAAAATCTAGGTTAAAAAGCTTGAGCTTATCATATACTCTAACAGCTTACAAAAACTCATGAAATCATCTGGCAACCTCCCTCTGTTTGTAATTACTGTGCATAATAATTTTTATTTAAAAATATATTAAAATAATATTTTTTTTATTTATAACATTACTTAGCATATTTAAACGAAAAATATTAAAAAATATAACAAATATTAATTGAAATTTTCAAAAAAATCAAATTTTTTAAAAAAACATCAAACCGCACTCCCAAAAGAGTGCCTAAAATTTTTCAAACCACATTGTACAAATACCGACACAGGCTCCGAGTCAACAAGAAACAGAGTAACCTTAAGAGACTTTACGCTTGTCTAAGTTGGTATACATTCCAACACAACACAAGTTTTCTAACAGAAACACTGAAATGTCAAGCCACAAAATTTGTTGTCTACTTGAGGGATCACGAGTCAGGTAGATACCATAATCTGTCTTAGCTGCCATATCCATGAGTACATAATTTCCAGTGCACAATATATAGAAATTAATAGAAGTGGTACAAAAGGAAGCTTATGTCCGAGAAGGTAAGGGTGCAGAAACTGACCCCAAATCTCAACAACCAGCAGACCACACAGGTAACACCTTCCAATCCATCCGATATGGAATCCTCCTTTTTCGACAACATCACTGGAACTTCCCTTCAAACCCACCTGTCTGTCTGTTTTCTTTGCTGAAACTACTGCTTTGGCTGTTGCATCCTTGGTGAACAGTGCAGAAAAGCTCTGCCACATCAGAACTGAATGTAACAGCAGCAACAGCACTTTGATTGGATACTCTTGGGCTTCATATAGAAGGGGAAACAACGAGTAGCAAGACACTGCATTAGACATAAAGAAGAATGAACAGAATCAGCATATAAAAACGGAAAGCATGAACCGACAATTACAATTGAAACTGAAACCACTCTAAATATGGCTGGCCCTGCTTCATGCTCGCATTTTCTAATGCTCAAAATTAATTTCCCTTGATTTATTCAGTTAGCCCGTGCAAAAATGCATTCAGTCTGTTAAAAAAAAGGTCTTTCTGCAATTACAACACTGACAAACAGCACAAACAGAATTAGGTTTCATGCTTGTTCAGGATTTATTCTTGCGGAAGCCTTCTCATTTTCATCTTGTATCGGCTGCTCTTGGCAAATAATCTGAGCAAACAAAAACCAAACAACAAACATATCTCTAAAACAGGAGAAGCTAGAGGAATTTATCCAAGTGCAACGAAATATGGCTGCACAAGCAAGTGTGATGTTTTGGGGTTTGGACAACGGGTTTATGGGGTATGGGAATTCAACCTTTCCAGTACATACAGAAGTTTGGAATTCAATCCAAAAATAAATCCCATATAACCGCTTAAATTTCCAAACCCAATTCTACCACAATTGCCTCAAATCTCTCATATAATTATTGCTACCAAGACCATGTTTATTTAGAAAGTTTTGAAAATAATGTACAATTCAGCATACCTATAGAAAGCAAGAAATAATGCCTTGCATCCTCCAAACTGTTTCCAGCGACAATTGCTAAAGGAATGACAAAGTGGAGTGATGCTTTTTCATGAACATGCCACCCAAACAAAAAGCCACACATATAAGCATAAGCTATCCATCTAGCGACTGATCGTGGCTGAGGATTCTTCCAGACCTTGATAAGACATGGAGATAAGGCAAGCAGGACCATAATGAATGTTGTCAAGGGGGTGACCTGCCATGTGATTAACTTTAGATATATGAAATTACATCTAGCAGCAGCTAGAAAATAAAATAAGAAAAATAACCAAATTAACTATGTTCTAGAGTTAAAATCAATCTCCTAGTACTGTAAATAAAATCATTATTTAATCAATTCAAATATGTTCGACAGAACTGTTCATCCAGTAGGCATGCCATGGACGACGAAGATGGGAACATGCCAGCTTCTTCCATTGCCAGGTCGTATTTTTCCAAATCAAGCAAGAATCAATTATATGCTATAGCTGAGCTGATGCTGATCCGTGAATGATAAGAGCCACCAACTTGTTGAAATCAATTGTAAGAAATGAAGCACCTTGCTAGATATATGTCACCATGTCACTTGGGGTTAATGAAATCAACATCGTTTCCATCGTCAATAATATTCTGCAAAATTACCTGAGGCAGTATAGCAAATGGTGACGAATCCCCTACTAGCCCACCAGTGAAAGAGGCTGCCGGTACTGGGATGTTCAGCCCAAGTTTTTTGAGTAAGAAAGCGAGCCCTTTATCTAATATAATGTAAAACACCCAAAAGTTCGGGGCCCAGTATGCATGGCAAAGTCCCCTTCCAAAAGGAAACATGCGGCTGATGACTTGTTGCATCTGCAAAGTATGAGTTATATAATGAATACGCTAAGCAGAAGTAATACAAGAGATAGTTTATGACTTTCAGCAGTTAGTTATCAACTATCAACCACTACCATAAACCTACGAAGATCATTTGTGTGAACACAAGTGTTATTGTGAGTTTGAGCTAGAAAGAGAAGTCGCTTAAGTGCACAATAATAACACAGAAAACAACTTATATATGTTGATAAAAGCACCATGTCTACTACCAAGATGCTAGTCGCTGCATATTCAAAACATCAGTGACAGCAGTTTAAATTTGCTGCGTTTATTAGAATCTCTTCTGATAGCTCAAGCAAGTAATTGTCAAGTGTGTGCATTAGGAACACAGATTGAATAAGCCTGACAGTGGAGTGGATGTATAAACTCCATCTTCATTTCAGTGCTTATACATACGAACAAATGCAAGTGGTCTTTTTAGCAAATCCTCATCTTCAACTATGTTTGATCACAAACAAAATCGCATTTATGATGATTTCACATTAAGATATAATCAAACACCACCACAAGTTGTGGCTTGCTGGTACCCAGATAGCTCATTGAGCATGTCCTGTGTTCGAGTCGTGGAAAGCTCTTGGGTATGGGATGGTGGGGTTTGGGATCACAAGACCTTTAGGTCTCCTAGATACCAAAAGAGGAAAGAAAGAAAGAAACAATCAAACAAAATGTGACATAAGAACCACAAAAATTGTAAAAACAATATAACTGCATCAGTCTCTCACTCTCTCTAACAGTTATACCAGGGTATGAAAACAGCTATAAAAACAGTATCTGGTGTTGACTAAATTTTTACAAGAACTAGAATCATAGGAACCAGGAATTACCTGCCCGTGATAAACAAAGGGACCATAAGCAGCAGCAAAAACAGCAACAACAACAGCTCCCAGAACCGAAATCCTCCAGAAACCCTTAACAAATCCTTTCCAACAATAATGCCTCAACAAATAAACAAAATAAACAGGAGCGGCCACAGCAAACAAATGCTTAAAACACAACAAAACAGCAAAAATGAACCCACCCATCAAATCCCTCCCTTCCATCAAATACGAAATCGACATCATCAACAACCCTAGCAGGAATCCATTATACTGAAAATGCATGTGATCTACAATCACTAGCCCAGGTGACCAAACAACCAAAACCCACATCAAAACTCTCTCTTTAAACCCCATAGAAAAATTCTTGCTCAATCTATAAACCCCATATAAAAGAACCAAATCAAAAACCATCACACTCAATCTCTGAAATAAAACCACACTCTCTGCCTTATAATCGAGTCCCTTTTCAAGGTCTACAATTTCTGGGTCAAGTAAGTGAGCAAAAAAGGAGATGATGTATTCAAAATAAGCAAAGAAAGGCGGGTAATCAAGAGTCCAAGGACTGGTTTTGTCAATGTACCATTGATCGAGAGGGAGTGAATGTGTTATAGCTAGCCAGTTTCTATGGACCTCAAAATCCGTGCTATGGTATGATGGGATTAATAGGAGTTTTACACATGTTGATACGCCAAAGAACCATAAGAGATTTGAGGTTGTTGATGTTTTGTTTTTTTCAGGTTTTCTTTGATCTTCCATTGAAGACAGAAACTGGGACACGAAGACAGGAACTCGATATGATTGTGTTCTTTTTAGCTAGCAGGTCTTTCGTCTTTCTTCCTTTCCTTTTTTTTCTTTTCTTTTTCCCTGAACTGAATCCATTGCATGGATGGGCTGTTGAGTGTTTTACGATAAATTAATTTCATTACAAGAAAACCCAAACGCCTTATGAAATACAGAGTAGTTTTAAACTGGGCCTTGGAATTCATTCTACCTATGCTTGGCAGGGCCTATAAACCATCAAGTGGAATATAGCAGTGCCGAGCAACCCGGGTGATTTTTTGAAATTTATTTTTATTTAATTATATAATGATTAAAATAGATATTTATAAAAAAATAATTGTAATTTTTAACTAAAATTCCATTTTATTCATTTTTTCATTTAAAATAATTGTTTCATTAACAGTGTGATTCTTTTGAATAAAAACAAAAAACAATTAAAATAAACGACTGGAAAAAACTTTGAAAATAAACTCAATTTTTACTTCAAAGATATGTTTTTTTTTTGTGATTGAAAAAATCAAGATATAAGTTTTAAAATTCTCAAAATTCAATTTTTAACCAGTTTTTACCTTTAAATAAATTCACAACATCTTAAAGTTTTTAATAAACACATGTTTTTACCCTTTAACACTCTAAATTCACTTTAAAGATCAATAATTAAACCAAAGTCAATGAAATAAGGCTTTTTTTTATTTTTTATTTTGTTTAGTCATGTAAAATGAATATTTAATTTATTACAAAGAGAGACAATGAACGTGGAGCTACCATATTCTTACAAGGTGTTTTAATTCTGCCTTCCATTTTAGTATATTAGTTGTAAATTATTTTAGTATAATTTTTGTAAATTGTAATTGTATTTTTTATGCAAACATTCCACGACGAACGAATGTTACCTCATTAACAGGCCCAACAAAACACCCCGAGCCCGTAATTTATCCCCCATCACCCCGTTTCTCATTTCCACTGCAACCCACCAAAACACCACCCCACCACCCCTCAACTCCGACCTTGCAATAGCCGAGCGACCCCTCAAGAACAGCAACCATGTTTCGCCGAGCCACCACCGGAATCTTAGCCCGAAACATTCGGGCTCGACTCTTCTCCACTGGCCTCCCAGCAGCACAAACAATTGACTCAACATTTGCGGAGGCGTGGAAAAAAGTGGCACCAAACTTGGACCCACCAAAGACTCCACTTTCTTTCATGCAACCTCGGCCTCCAACTCCTTCTGCTATCCCTTCTAAGCTTACTGTTAACTTCGTACTTCCTTATGCTTCTGAGATTTCTGGTAAAGAGGTGCGTATTTTTTTCCATCCGGGGTTAAAAATGTGTGCTTTTTGTTTGGTTGTTGATAAATTTGGTGATTTTGACGCATTTCGGAATTTTTGGCTGGTTGGATTTTGATGTGATCCGAAGCAATTTTTCTATATTGCAGTGATTGATAGAGTGTTGATGATAAAATAAGAGGTGTTTTTTCCCTTTATCCGGGCTTAAAGATGTCTGCCTTTTGCTTGTTTTTTTTTTTTATAAATCTGGTGAATTTGATGCATTTTGGAATTTGTGGTTATGTGGTGGAGTCTGCATTTTTGGTTTTGGAAATTGCCCATCTTGCTGGTTGTTTGGTTCTCGATATGATTCGAAGCATTCTACTACTGAAGTAATCGAGCCAATATTTTTTATAAAATAAGATAACCGGGGATGAGCGTTTGTTCTAGATTTTATACCAATGCACCGTGTAAGTGTAAATACAGGAGGCTGAGCTTCGTATGGCTTGAGGGACTTGCAGGGTGTGCATTTTGTTTTTTAAGATATCAATGGTTTGCAAGATTTCTTTTAGCATTGTGAAATTCTTGCTTTTGTTGATCGTTGCTGGTATATTATTGGGTTGAAGATGGGATATATTACATCTGCAGCTTAGTTACACCCTAGAATCAACTCTAACAAGATTCACTAGTGTTTCACATCCTATTTGTGTTGATAACGTCTCAGGGAAAGGCATGCCAATGATCCTGCTATATATCATGTCTGAAAAAGTGGAACCATGCCATAATGATTGGATTGAAACTGAAATTGATAGGAACATTGCACACAACAATAGAAGTTCACGAAAAGGATATATCTCTGATGTTCCATAATTTATAAAGTTTGAAAATTAGTATTTTTATGTATATCATCTCATGACTTAGGAGAGCTCCTTTGGTCTTGAAAATCTATTCTGTGATTGTTTGGACAGGCTTGAGGATGCGTCTTTAATGATAACTCTCAACAATAAATATTTTCATTCTTAAGAAACAGAATGATTGTCAGTGGGTATGACTAGTTAGGTTATTGTGATTCTGTCTGCTTTGGAACAAACTGTTGAAGAACTGGTTTGGACCAGTTGCTTCATTCTCCAAGCTTACTGACTGACTCTTACTTCATGCTCTCCGGACACTTTGTGGCCAAATATTCCAAGCACATGAATCTAGGCCACGTGATTTACACTTCTGTATTTGCTTTGATCTCATTTTTTAGTTTGTTTTGTTTTGAAGCATCGAAGATTGATTTGAAGCTACATAACCTATTACATCTTCCTAGGATCTCCAATCTTTGTTTACAACCAAAACTGGTAAATTAATTGTGCATTTTTCTGACTGAACTCTGAATAAAATCCACGCAACTGCATACTTCATACATGTTTCTGCAGGAATTTTTGGCATGTTTCCATCATGTTGCTGCTCCACCCACTATAGTCACGTGAATATTTGTGGTCAGTTAACACAATTTTCTTTTTCATTGAACATCAGCTTATGCCTCCCAAGCTTAATGCATGCATTTATCTTCTCTTCTCTTCTCTTCTTGTAGCTTATAATTGCACTGCTGGGAACCTACAAAAAATAATAGACTTTGTTGTACGAATTTCTTTTTTGCTGTGAGGAAGCCTGCCATCCTTAGATCTTAATTTATCTCCTTGCCATTATTGTGATCATTTCTTTGAGTGTGCTTTTCTCCCTTTTAATCCTAGGTACTCATGGAGCCCCTTTTCACTCCTCTTCCATGATTGTTTTATTCCAGTTCCTTTTGCACATAGGGCTCATTTGGGAACACGGTAGAAACCGTGTTTCCCAAAAAAATATTTTTTTTGCTTAAAATTATTTTTTTATGTTTTTAGATTGTTTTGATGTGCTGATTTCAAAAATGAATTTTAAAAAAAATATTGTTATGATGCATTTCCAAGCGAAAAAAACTTTGAAAAACAGCTGCTACTACACTCCCGAACACCCTCATAGATTAAAAACCTGACAAATTTAATAGAGTTCATATTGATAAATAATTTCTATTTTTTACTCCTTTTTTAAACAATCAAGATTATATCTTAGCGGTAAAAGAGTGCTTGAATTTTACTTTCTTTTCAAAATTTGAAAACCAAAATTTCAGCTTAAGTATGATGAAAGACATGCCTTCTGGTTTTTGGATTCTTCCATTTGACCTTGAATAGCAGATAAAGATATGGTAATATTCCAAAAGTAGGACCCTGCCTAGCTCATATTCCAATAATGGGTGGGGAAATACCCCGTTTCCAACCCTAGCCTTTTCAGGAATTATTCTCTCTGTTAGTGAGGAAAAGAGCTGGTTATCTGATCCTTTATTTGACAGAGAATTTGAAATTTGAACTTGCTTCAGTGGGTAGGACCACAGGAGCAACTTTGTTAAAGCATTTTTCTTGTTTTTACCATACACACACACAGAGGGGAGGGTGATAACCTCTCTGAGCTGCAAACTAAAAGGGTACTCAACTCTGCTGCATAGGACCATCTCTTTTTTGCTATTATAGCTACACTATGCCACATCTTTTAGCTGTAGGGGATCCTTTCCTTTTCTAGCTAAGTTAAGAGTACACAAAGGTCTTTGTTGCAGAAGAGGGAATTGTTAATTGTGTTATTGTCTGAAAAGTTGGCTAGAAAATGAATGCTGCCATGTAGTACCGGTTTCTTATTGCAGCCCTTGGCTACCTGTTCCGTGTTTGAGATGCTGTTTACAAAGTACCTAGAGAAATAGAACTGTCCTGCTGTCCACCACAAAAAAAAATAAAATCACCGGCCTGATTTTGGTATGCTTACATGGTTGCGCAATGTGTAGATGCCACCATGGGTATCTTCAAAAGCCTGAGCATGAGAGGATGAAAAATATTGATAGGCTATTGTCCTTAAGCTGAAATCAGGTAACTAATGAACATTCCTGGCCATCAGAATTCTTACTTGCCTTGACATCTTTGTTCAGGTCGACATGGTCATAATTCCAGCATCAACTGGGCAGATGGGTGTTCTTCCGGGACATGTATCAACAATTACAGAATTGAAACCTGGGGTACTATCAGTGCATGAAGGAAATGAAGTGAAGAAGTATTTTGTTAGCAGTGGCTTTGCATTCATCCATGCCAACTCGATGGCTGATATAGTTGCTGTTGAGGCTGCGCCCCTTGATCAAATTGACTCCAGCCTAGTTCAGAAGGGTCTCACAGAGTTCACCCAGAAGCTAAGCTCGGCCTCAACTGACTTGGAGAAAGCTGAAGCTCAAATTGGAGTTGATGTGCATAGTGCTCTCAATGCTGCTCTCACAGGCTAATTTTATGCTTGCAGTCCTTCTACGAGACCCTTGATTTAGTCATGCTGCATGTTTTCTTTTTAAAGTCTGGCTTGTTGACGTGCAAATTGATCACCTCAAGCTGAACATTGCTTTTCAACGTTTTTATTTCTCTACTTATTAGCTGAATGGGAAATTGGTGAATAATACGTGAATTGATTTATCTGGTGCTCAAAGAGTTAAACAGCATTGGTTCAGTAGTAGAAGACTCAAGAATACTGCGTTGGAGCCCCTCCCAACACATCAAGAGGTGAAGTTAATGGCCTCCTTGGCCTTGTTTTGCTTACAAGTCAGGCAGGTTTGGCTTATCACCCTACCTCATATGTCTCAGCAAGCATAAATAACGTCTGGCGAAGAACTCGCTTGTGCTTCGGAAAGTGACCGTTTGGAAACGCTGTGTTTCTTAAAAATTTGATTTTTTAAAGGTAGTGGTGCTCTTCGTGGGCTTCATATCTTCATGAGCTGGGATCATATCATGAGATGATATGATATTAAAAAGCCGAGAGGTCTTCTTTTGCCCGTCATAAAAAGCCGGTTAGCCGATGGCGATGCTTCCAGGCTCTTTAGCGATGCTTCCATGCACTTTTTAACTGAGAACTTCTTATATTAAAAAAGCCGAAGAACTTGAGAAAAAGAGACGCTAAAAAGCAAATGTCACGTGGGCCACGGCATGACAAGGAGCTTTTCGTCCATCAATAAAAGGAAAATAAATACAAAAGCAAAGTGGCTTTCATTCCCAGCCTTCTCTCGTGCCAATTTCAGACCATAGAGAATGACCCAGCCATATTGACCTGGTCTCGAGTATCGCAGGAGCCTCTTCAAAAATAAATAAAATCACGGACAGAACTTGTTTAAGTGCTGGCTTTCGACAAGTAAGGAAAGGGTAACTATAATCTTCTTGGATATTGTGTAATTATACGGGCCGTCCAAATTAAAAGAATATTGCATTTTTTTTATATCCAAAACATCCCTCGTGTTTAAAATTTTTTACTTTAAAATATTAAAGACGATTCGGGTACACAAATAGGATTTTATACATTTTTCAAAAAAATATAGACATTTTTAATACCATATTTTTTTAAATTTATAAACGATCCCTCTAGTGTAATGATATATGAAAACGGTTCTTGTAATTTATCCTATGATTTCAGAACAAAGAAAAAATAATTTTCATTGATCTCCTCCTTTTTATTCCAATACAAATGGTAATATAAATGACAAATACATTAAGATTTATCAGGATGAATCAGACCTTTACCAATAAATAAAAGCAATTATTATTAAAGATTGTCTAGATTTTACTATTAAGGTTGATTTTTATGGTGTTGTGTGACTGAAACTGAATTTTATACTTGTTATAATTTTAAAAATATTTGATTGATTAACATACACTGTAATTTTAATTGGATTGTACTATAAATTCTCTTTTAAAACTTTGATTAAAAAAAAAACCATACTTTACATATTTTTTTTAACTTTTTTTTTCCGGTTCATGATTACACATATTTTAGTTAGGCTAGAAAAACAATTATAATATACTTTTATTTTTTTGTTTTTATCCAGATATCCTTATATCCTTTTAAATAATAAGATTAATCTTGTTCGGGATTTGTGATTGTCTTCCCATTCCGAAATCACTTATGATATGCAGATTTCTTAATCGCTAGAATAACACCCCCTTCCGAAATCACTTGTGATATGCAGCTTGCTGTAAAGCAATGAAATCACTTGTGATTTGCAACTTTCTGTAAAGCAATGGGAAGATAATAAAAATGGCAAGATGGCTTTCCCTGCCAGCTCCTTTTCCATGACAATGGAGTCCACAGAGAATGAATCGAATACATTGACTTGGCATCGATTCATTGGAGGTACTTATTTAACAAGTTAATAGTGCTTTGGGTCTGAAATAAGCTAGATATGCTGATGAAATGCAATAAAATTTAATGTAGTATATTGAAAATAAAAGATTACGATCACCGTCTATCTTTCTTCTTTATTTTTCTATCAAGCACTTACAAGCATATCTAAGTTCTTTTTCCCCCCTTTTCCGGCATATATAAAAAAGAGTTATGTTCTGTTTATAATCCATGCATTTTGCCAACCATTCATGTGCCCATGCTGGATTTATTTCTATGAAAAAAAACATACAAACGTTTTAATGTTTGATTTGATTTGGATGAGAACATATTTGTAGATGCAAACAAGGAAATAGTCTCACACTTATGATTACTAAACCCGATTTGATTTGATAAATTAAATTAAAATTTAATAAATTTAATTCTGAATTACAACATAAAAAATTGATTTAATAGATCATCTCATGATTTAATTAATTAATTAAATTAAATTTGGTTTTTTAAACAATATTTAAAATAAAATTACTTTATTTTTTTTATAAAAAAAATTGTCTCAAATAAATTTGATTGATAAGTTAAATCTATGATGTCACAAGATATATTTCGAATTTGTTTGAAAATGTAGTTATAATTATTTTTTAAAATTATTTTTAAAATTAATACATTAAAATAATCTAAATTATATAAAAAATTAAATATTTCAAAAATCTATATTGACCTGTATTTTTAAACGCTATCTTCATCACCATGACATGGAGTTCGGAGTTTCCAACACAAGTAAAAACAACATGTAAAGATTGAATTAATTGTTTAATTTCCTAGACAAATTCAACTCACATGTTGTCGAGATTCACTCGAAATAATCATATAGTAATTGGCATCCAATCTAATAATCACATGCGAGCTCAACCACCCTAGATCAAAACCATGACAACACTCGTTTATTTTTATTTTTATTTTTGTTTTTGTTTCTATCTTTAAATTAGAACCCTCGTACCATTGATTTTTCCTGTCAGAATATTGAATCCATGATGGGTTATGTAGAATATAGATGCATGCATGCCCCTTTCATCAAACCTTGTCTGTGGGCGAGGATGGCTTTTAAAAACATGTTTCGCGGAACCTGGCCGCCCTATGATGACTCTTGTCAGTGGCTCCCTAGTAACCTAGGTTAATATATCATTTTAATTTTTTATAAGTTAAAACAAAGTTTTTTAAATAAAAAAATCAACTACTGCCTTGTCTTAACCTGTATAATCTTGTTTTTTTATATAAAATATTAATTGAATTAATTTTTAAATTAACCTATCAAGTCCAATTAAATTTAAATTGTCCTCTGTCTTTGCAGTTATTTATGGGTAGATTTTTTTAAAAAAATTTCTCTTTTTTTCTTTATTTAAGCGGATTGTTTGTTTTTGTATTTTTATAAAAAAATTATTTTTTTTATTTTTTATTTACTTTTAAATAATATATTTTTAATATTTTTAAATTATTTTGACATGGTAATATTAAAAATAATTTTTAAAAAATAAAAAGAATATTAATATATATTTTAATACAAAAAATTATTTTTGAAACGAATATAATTATATTATCAAATAAGCTTCTTCAATATTTTCTTATAATTTCTTAATTTTTGAATTTTTTGTCCTGGTTTTGTGTTTTTTTCTCCTGTATAATAAATGAAACGTAAACAACCAATTTAACTTATGGATCATACTTACCAATCATCCATTAATTCAAACTCCAATTTTCCTCACATGTCTGTGTTCAAGAACGTCCAAGTATAATAATTTTTTCATTATTTTAACCAGATATGTGAAATCCGTACAAAAACTCTTGTAATCATTGACAGGATCATGAGTCACTGATTCAAAGTCCAAAAACCCTTATCTAGAAGGATTTTGTTAATTCTTTCACCATAATATAAAAAAGTTCATGCGTGCAGGTTGAAAGTACAATTAAATTAAAAATTATGAAATTACATTTAAAACACACCCTTGGTATATCTACACTCTGTTAATCTGAGAATGAGGGTCAATTATTGTTGTCCTTGCTGTTTTTTTATGGCAAAAAAAATGATTAACCTAAACAAATCATAACTATTAAACCTGGCTCCACTGATTAACCTAAACAAATCATAACTATTAAAAAAATAATAGTTAAAAAAACTGGGTTAAAAAAATAAACTTAAAATTTAATTTATTTTAATGATTGACGTGACAAGTAATTTTATAACTCGGTTAATATCAAATTTAATTAAAGAATATTACACAAGAAAATGTCTTTTTAAGTTTTTTTATATAAATTAAAATAGCATCATTATTTTAATATTGATGTAGATTAATTCTATGTGCAATAAGAATTATATTTAAGGCTGAGTTTAATAACAGGTGAAAAAAATAATTTTAAAATACAATAAAAATTAAAAAAGTAACAACTTTCCGCGCTCATGTATTCCCCACCAATTCTGATAAGCAAACACCACATGTTCAAATTGAATTACTCTTCTAACAAATTCAACTTGAGAAATATTAAAATACACAGACAAAACCATCACAATAATTGAGAAACCAGTCCAAGAACACATAAACTCAACCTCTCTAGATCACAACCTCACCAGTCATTTTAATACACACCATGTTCTTTGCAGGGAAACCCAAAGTGGCACCACCCCTCAATAATGGAGCCTCTATCATGGCACAATCTTCACCGTAGATTTAGATGACCTTGAGAACGTACAAACAAGCCAACTTTCTTTTTATAATAACGTGCCACGTGCCATGGCGAGTAATGATATGTGCTGCGCTGGATACACAAACAGCGCGCACGTGTACAGAGTAACGTCAGGGAGGCAATTGCCCGTTGCACACGGGCAGCTGTTGTGGGCCCGAAATACATGGTCCCTAGGAAGTCGAGCCAACTTGAAGCTGAGCCCACGTGGGGCCCTTTTAACATTTGTTGGTTTCTTGTGGGGCCGGTGTCGACGCAGCTCCTAGTTAACTTTATTGTTGTTTATTGGACCGTGGGGCCTACTAACACTCGAGTCCTTGGTGGAAGAGAACGACTTGCGTAATGAATGTGGTCCCTGGTTTGTCTAGAGAAATCATGAGAAGTGTACGCAAAATGTATTACAATCTAGTCCTATGAGAATAATGAAATTATGTTTCCATGCCCTAATATGTTTTCGAATTTAAGTTTTAACGGGCAGAAAATTCCCTAATAAGGTTTTAGTCTCTTGTATGTAATGATCAAAATATTTTTTATATATGTTTAAATAAGTGTTTTTAAAAATTTCTTTTTTATACATGGTTTTTTTAATTTAAACTCGAAATAAAAATAAAATAATAATTTCCTTATCATTACATAACGTGCATGATTCAAAAGATTCATGGAAGAATATATATATATATATATGTTTGGGATGAAAATAAATATATCACCATCAGTGGTTGCATTGAGAAATACGTAGAGATTAGGTACCAAATGTTTAAGAACTAAAAATGGAATCATTATGATAACAAAAGTGTCTTTAAAGAAAGATGCATGCACCGTGACAGGCAGTAGCGGATTCAATACCACCACCGCAGCAGGGATTCAGGAAATCAGCCGCTGGTTTTTAAAACCAATAAAAGATATTTCCTCTACCGTAAACAAACTACAAAAATGAACAGCCCATCTAGTCTATTTTGGACCAATCAAAATTGACCTAGGTTGTCATAAAGTAACAGACCACAATAATACATTACTCCTGCATGCACTAGATCCCACCAAGTCCACTCCCTGACTTTCGCTATATAAACTGTCAAGCTCCTGTCTAGTGTTCTCCTCCTCTTTTCTTGCATAGAGCTTACGGCTTTCCTCCGTACTTGCCTTTTCCTCTACTTTCACTACTACGCTCGAGGTTGAAAAAACTCTTTGGTTTTCTTCTTTGAAGTTAGAAATCAATCATGTCTTACTACAGTGGTTGCCTGGATTCCCACAAGCCTCACTTTCTGGAAGCTTGTTTTCTCTGCCGGAAAACCCTCGGTCGCAACTCCGACATCTACATGTACAGGTTAGTTTTTATAATTCCACTCCCTTCTCTCTAATGGATTCTTGAAATTGTAAGAAGAATTGCGAGTGGTAAGATAATATGTGAACTGTTTTTGCATCGTGTGGGTAGGGCTTATGATTATTGACCTTGTTTTGCTGACTTGGATTGAAAATTGTTATGCAGAGGGAACACCCCATTCTGTAGCAAGGAGTGCAGGCAAGAACAAATAGAGATAGATCAATCTACGGAGAAGAAGAGCTGGAAAATGCCATCCTCCTCTTCTAGATCTATCAGGAAATCAGATCCTAAGGATTCTACCCCTAACAAGACTGTACGGACGGGCACAGTTGCTGTTGCTTAACAATCGAACAGCTGATTTTATATGAAAAGCAAATTAAATTTCCAATTTTGAGATTTAAGTCCCAGTTAAAGATAAAAAAACACAAAACAAAATTGTGGGCACTTATATGTCAATCTTGATCTGTAAAGGCGTGGTGCGTGTGGCTGTAATTTGGAGACGAGGCCAGGGAAGGAGAGTTGCCAGACCTACCATGGATTTTTGCTTTTGTTTCGGGGTTAATGTTTTTAAGGGTTAAGAAGTTAAGGGTTAATTGTACTACTTTGAAACGATCGCTCTGCTCTTCTTGTTCTCCCATTTCTCCAGAAAAATTTTGAGAAAATTAATGAATCCAAGAACATTGTGGTGTTCATGCTTGTGTGTGTTTGGTTTGCTTCTGTTACATTAAAAGTAGATCAAAGAAATATTTTCAATAATTTCCTGAATTACATACAAGGAAAATGATAGTTCTGAACAAGCAATTAAATTAAATTAAGACTAATAATGACAGGTAGGCCACAATAATTCAGTGGACCTTTTCATGATAATAATTCAGAGGGCCTAGCAATTATTGGCTTCGCTTTCAAGTTTTAAGCCCCCTTTTACTGTAATTTCTAGCTGTTGGAGAATCTCGTGAACCCAGTGGCATTAATCAATCTGGTGAACCCAGTGGCATTCATCAATTGAAATAATCGGATGGTTGTGGCACAGTTGAAACATTATGTTCTTTCTTACGATTTCATTCGATGCAGAGGAATTTAATACTTTATTTCCCTAGAAAAGCAAATGAGAATGCAATCAATGAATGCTATCAATTTATCCGTCCTGGGAAGTCTAGATTTAGACGGTGTTTTGTACTGTGGAAGAGGGTATTTTTTTATGATAATATTTTTTTATTTTTTAAAATTTGTTTTTGTTATTAAAATTAAAAATAATGATGTGTCATGCCAGAACATGTTTATAGCAATGTTCACTCTAATTATTGTTCAAATATAAATGTTAAACATAAACTGACAATTTATCACATCAAGTATGTGACATCTCGTATAATTATACTTGTGATTAATGTAAAATTATATAAATTTAATATAATTAAAAAAATATTATAATATATTATAACATGACCTAATAAATTGTTATATATATATATTGTTGGCTATGACATGATTTTTTATCATGCCCTGTGTCATTGTATTTACTATACTTATAATCATAGTTTTAAAACCCGGCCCGGCCCGACGGGTTGACCTGGAACCCGTCTGACCCGGGGCTGGAACCGGGTCGGGTTGATGAAAAAATAAGGTGAGCCATGACCCGGTGTGACCCGGCCGACCCGGCGGGTTGACCCTGAAACCCGGACGACCCGGCAAAACCCAGTCAAAAACCCGGTTGCAACTCGTTGACTTTTGTTTTTTTTTTACTAAAACGATGTCGTTTTGAATTTTTTTAAAAATAGAAATTGACCCGGCCGACCCGGTCAAAACCCGGAACCCGGGCCTTGAACCGGGCCGGCTTTAAAAACTATGCCTATAATGTGTATGACCTTCTGTTGCGTCAATCTTGTTACGGAAACTTTAAAAACTATGCCTATAACGTGTATGACCTTCTGTTGCATCAATCTTGTTACGGAAATGGGTAATAACCATTAATAAACTGTGCGAAGTTCAAGTAATTTTCAGCACAACATGCAAGAACATGTGAACATGGATTATGAAATGTTTATTATTTACCACATATGCATGCTCTATCATTCAATTTAACTACTTGTTTGACTTCTTTCACAGCACTTGATTTAATAGGAGTGTTGACCTAAGAAACCTATTTCTTAGAGTCAAGCAACAGTATAGTATGGTTTTTTAATCTATCCCTACTCATTATTAATTCAAGCTGAATTACTGGAGGTCAAAATACTCTACTTTGAGTGACATCACTAGCTTCGTATCTTTGTTTGGTCCAATAACCATTACATCTGTAAATTGTTAATTGTATTAGAGTATAAATAGGTATTGCCCTAATATTTTTCAAAACATGATTAACTTATTTTAAAAGATTATTTGTCATATTACTACATCGGTGACCATCATTATAATATATAGCTCATATTTCTTTTGGCTCCCCTTAAGTCATTCTTTATACGATGGGTCTATGTTACATATTATTTCACACCACATATCAAATTTATGTTTGAAAGATTCAAAATACATTCGTATTAAATCTTTTATGGTTGAATTTGATAACAAAATATCCAACACAATATCAAAAGTATCCTAAAGGTTGACGCTAAATTTGTGCTACTCAATTCTTGATGCCTGCTTATTTATCTGATATTATACATGTACTGGTTTTGCCACCAATAACATACATTTGTAAACAAAGAAAAAACTATCTTCAATTGTCATTATTTTCTTCATCAACAATTGGAAAAACTAATGAGAATATCTCATTATTCGTATAAAAAACAAATGCAATTAATAATTTTTTATTATATTGCTCATATAAATATTTTCCATCAATACTGATAAGTGACATACAATACTTGAAACTTTCAATATAAGGTTCAAACGACCAAAAACATTCTTTAAAAAATCATTTTACTATCATTAAGATATCTTTTATGTGTTAAATTAACAACTATTCAAGGATTTGATTCCTATATTTTCAACTATCATCTAGACAGTTTCTTAAAAGATTGCTTATATGAACCAAAAAAATACTTAATGACTTTCTGTTTTGCGACTTATGCTTTGTCATGTGATATTTTATGATAGTAATACAATTTTATTCCATCTTATATGCTTGCAACCATCATTAAAAAATTATTCATTACAATGGTTGATATAGTAGTAACAATAAAATTTGCATTAAGTTGATGATGATATTTTTGGACAAAGATCATAACATATGTGTGCAATCCCTTTAACTTTGTTATATCAAATGAATATGATATTTAATGATATCCTTCATGTAAATACTAATCATAATATGGTGCTTGCACATATTGTAACTGAACAAATATTGAGTTCGACTATTAAACTCGGTACTCAATCAAGTATATAATGTGTTATCATTTAATAAAATTAACCAATTTATTTTTACTACTAAATATTTGTTCAACCTCCAAATCAAACCTTAATGAAATATGTCTATGATTAAATGCCCAACCATGTGAAACAATAAAACTAGATTTAGAAGCATCTCCAAAATCAGGATAAGAAGGAATAATTTTACCATTAACATCATTATCATTATCAGCATCATCTTCCTTGTCGTCAGGCTCATAATAGTCAAATTTATGTTGATCAACAAAAGAATTATCAAATATAATATCATTTATCTTTTACATTAAATCATCCACTCTACTAACTGAATTTAAAGGACCAGCAAAAGTTGGGACACACAAAGATTTTAATCGACTACTCGCATACAATATCATCATTGTCTTAAAACTATAATCACATATAATCGATATATGATAATATTGTTGTTCATCAATTTGACACCTTTAAGTTATTTGAATATCAATGTTATTATAATTCCACCCCACCCCACTCCATGACAAATGATTTATTTCATTTCTACATATGATATATCTAAATTATCAGTTAACAACAAATTGTTCCCATCATTGTATGTGATACTACTATTTACTTTGAAAACAATTTTGCCACTGCAATTACATAGCATAAACATGTTATTAGATATTATGTTGAAAAAAATGGATTCTAGTCAATTTAATGTAATCATAACTAAAATGCATTACCTCAACCCTGATTGATAAAATTCATAGTAAATTTTATCAAATTTCAAAAATTTAATATTAAAACAAGCTTAATATAAAATAAAATATAGTTCATGATCCATTATCAATTGATATTTTTAATGATTAGTTCATGATACATTATCAATTGATATTTTTAATGATCAATTGCATTAAATCAAATATAAATTCATGACAAATGAATCTATTTTCAAGAAAATACTAAATTCATCAATTATTAACAATTCAATGAAACAAGTATTTTGTCATAATTTAATCATATTTATATTCTATTACATGAACAAGTGTACATGTATAGCTACATTATTAGCCTACTACAACAATATACACAAAATTCATAATTTAACAACTTAACTTAGATTAAACGCAACACATAATTAATTAAAATAGTTAATTCATTATTAATTTAATTTATTTTCATGTTTAGCTTTGTCAAATAAAATTTAATTGAATATATTTTTAACTAATTTATCACTGATTTAACAACCCCTAAATTAAACTTAAGTAATTATTTGATTTCAACCAAATCAAATATAAATTGATAACAATATAGTATGTAACAACTTATTTATAAAACTAGAAGAATGGTTGCGGCGACAGTGACGACAATAGGGGAACGATGGATTTTTAGGCACAAAAAGGTCAAAGGATGTTGAAGGACTAAGATAAGTTTTATGTTTTGTTGATTTAAGTGAAAAATCTAAGTGTTTAACAAGTTTTTTAAGAGAGAAGTGAGGATTTCAATGGATTTTCCCGTGAAAGAGAAATAACATTGTGTGTTTAATATGCTCTTCTTAAATCTTAATTAATGTCGCACTTGTGGAACATTTTTAAGAGAGAAGTGAGGATTTCAATGGGTGTTCAATATGCTCTTCTTAAATTTTAATTAATGTCGCACTTGTGAAACGCGATATTTAATGGATATTGCGCTTCAAAAATACAATAAAATAAAATTATATCATTTCACCCAATCCTTTTTTATCAGTATCTTTTCCCTGCATTTTTAAGTTTATCATGCTAATTTTTTTTTTAAAAAAAAAACCCTAAATTTTTCAATTTGTAGCACCAGACAAAGGAATGTGATGTGAGGTGAATTATCCAATGTTTTTATTGAAATGCAAAGGCAGTAACTCTTATAAGATTGAGTGTTACAAAATCTAGCAGCCAATAGGATATGGAAGGTTAAGCTGTTACGCCAGAGGTTTTTTATGTACATATTTCAATAAGAGATGGTATTTTTGTCTGGCTATAGTATAATGAAAATCATTTCATTTCTTCATCCTTCTAAAACTATATCATGTACGTTGAAATTAAGAATTTATGGAGAAATGATCTTACCATAATATTATTAATTAAAATTTTTATAATTAATATTATACAATAAAAAGGGCACTGATAGTTATTTTGCAAGAAAAAAATATTTTTAAATGATTGTGAATTAGTAAGTAATCAAACTTATTGCATTAGCGTGGAGCGAAGCGGAGGGACCAACACAGGCGGTGCTGGGATACCGCAAAACCTAAACTTGCTGCTCTGTAGCTCTAGCAAGCCCAATAAACCCAACCTTGTCAAACCCATTGGAGCCTAAGATGTTCAATCTCTGTCCATAATATGAATCCATTTCTTGCAAGAATCCAAACTGCGGTCCAAAATTGAGTCCCCCTTTTCTCCACGAAGAAGATCAAAACCCCAGCTGAACCTCACTCTCCGGCGGCCCCCGGATGTCTGATGAAGTAGGCTATGTGGTGGGCAACTCCCTTAAGGTACACTACTTTAAATCTCCCTTGTTTTCCCACCAAACACTGAACTCGCAAATGTTAACTCTCTTCAAACTCACTTGTCTCCCCAAAAAGACAAATTCTTTCTGTTCTAGTTCCTGTAATACTAGAAAGATTAATTATTTTGACCAGTTTTTGCCTCTTTTTGATAAAAAGATCGATTCTTTAAGCTATTTGAACTCAAATGAGAGGAGGAGAGTAGTTGTTGGGCTGTCTAGAATTATTAAACAAGGCCAAGGTTACATTTTGAAGGGATTTGCTAAAAAAAATTGCCCTTATTTTTTAGTTAAGATTATGAAATCATTAGAATCTAGAGAAACTGCATTTGGGTTTTTTAAGTTTGCATTTCAAGATGATTCTGATGAAATAGTCAAGTCTTCTTGTGTTGCGGCACATGTTTTAGGTGCACAGAATCTCAAGTTCCTCGCTCAAGATGTGGTTTCTTGGGTTATTAGGAGAGTTGGGGTTGATAGGAGTAGGGAGGTAGTGGAGTTTATGTGGAAAAGGCATGCTGAATTTGAGTCGGATTTCTCAGTTCTTGATACGCTTATGCGGGGTTTTTTGAAAGTGGAAATGGGTTGTGAGGCGTTGGAGATTGTGGGTAGGATGAGGGAGGTGGGTTTGAGGCCAAGTTCATCAGCAATTACAATTCTTTTTAAGTTGTTGCTTAGAGTTGGTGATCATGGTAGTGTTTGGAAGTTGCTTAGGGGTATGATTCATCAAGGGCCTAGACCTTGCAATCATAACTTTAATGCGGTGATCCTTGGTTTCTGTAGAAAAGGACATGTTAAAGTTGGGGAGAGTTTGTTGTGCGTGATGCAGAAGTTTAAGTGTCAACCAGATGTTTATGCGTATAACATTTTGATTAATGCATACTGTACAAGGGGACAGACTGTAGATGCACTTGGTTGGATGCGCTTCATGATCGATAATGGTTGTACACCGAGCTTGGTTACTTTTGGTACAGTCATAAATGCATTTTGCAATCAGGGAAATATGATAGAAGCAAGGAATCTTTTTGATGGGATGAAAGAGGTCGGTCACATTCCCAATGTTATATGCTATAATACGTTGATGAATGGATATGTTAAGGCGAGGGATATTGGTCAGGCAAACATGCTTTATGAAGAAATGAAGAGCAAGGCTATAGCTCCTGATTGTACAACTTTTAATATTCTGGTTGCAGGGCATTATAGATATGGAAGAGAGGAAGACTGTGACAGATTGTTGAGGGATTTGTCACAATCAGGCTCGCTTCCAATTAGTTCACTATATAATATTTGTGTTTCAGGCTTGTGTTGGGCTGGCTGGCTGGATGAGGCCATGAAACTTTTAGAGGATATGCTTGAGAAAGGAATAACTCCAACTGTAGTTGCTTTTAATTCAATAATAGCAGCTTATAGCAGGGCTGGCTTAGAAGAGAAAGCCTTTAAAGCGTATAGAATGATGGTTAAATTTGGTTTATTTCCTTCATCTTTGACATGCAGTTCACTAATCATGGGTTTATCCAAGTTGTGGAGGCTGCAAGAAGCTAGGGACCTTTTGTATGAGATGATAGTAAAAGGCCTTCCCATCAACAAAGCAGCTTTTACTCTGCTTTTGGATGGGTACTTCAGGATGGGGGATGTGGCAGGTGCTTATAGCCTGTGGAATGAGATGGAAGGGAGGGGGATGCATCCTGATGCTGTTGCCTTTTCAGCCTTTATTAATGGTCTTTCTATAGTTGGTCTAGTGGATGAAGCATATGATGTATTTTTACAAATGTCAAAAAAAGGGTTCGTGCCCAACAATTTTGTGTATAACTCTTTGATCCGTGGCTTTTGCAACAGTGGGAGGCTGCAGGAAGCATTGATGTTGGAGAGGGAGATGGCACTAAAGGGTCTTCTTCCTGATATTTTTACTAGCAATATAATCATTAACGGTCTCTGTAAAGAAGGCAGGATGAAGTCAGCAAGTGATGTATTTAGAAACATGCACCATACTGGGTTGATCCCTGATATTGTCACCTACAATACTTTGATTGATGGATACTGTAAAGCATTCGACACAGTTAGTACAGAAGAAATCGTGAATAAAATGCATGCCACTGGATGGGACCCAGATATCACTACTTATAATATTCGTCTTCATGGGTTATGTACTGGTCAGAAAATGAGTCGAGCTGTGATGATGCTGGAGGAGCTTATTTCAGCAGGTGTTGTTCCAGACACAGTAACATACAACACTCTTATGAATGGTGTTTGTACTGACATTCTGGAGCGTGCCATGATTGTAACTGCCAAATTGCTTAAGATGGCATTTGTTCCTAATGTCGTTACAGCCAATCTACTATTATCTCACTTTTGCAAGCAGGGAATGCCTGAAAAGACCATTATGTGGGGTCAGAAGTTGAATGAGATCTCCTTTGGTTTCGATGAGATTTCCATAAAATTAATGGATAGAGCCTTCCGTAACATCCAAGATAATGTTAACTTGCCAAAACCACCACCTGAAAAGAGCCTGTTTCTGGATTTCCTCATGTACGTTACATACGATTATTTGAGCAGAAATAGTCCTCAAAAGAAAGAAAATCAGGGTTCACTTAAACGGATGGAAATTGGTTATGGTGGATCCTGAAAGCTTGTTGGATGGGTTTCTAGGACTTAAGTTTTCGCGATGTGCAAAAATCTGTGTGAAAGCAGAACCTGGCATGCCTTGTTGAAGATTACCCAGCTGTCTGCACATTATAGTGGCAATGAGTTTTTGAAGCACCATGCATAAGGAGACAGTAATCTTCTTTGGTTGATATGGTATTAGGGAAGCTGCTTGCTGCTCTTGGAAACTTGCATGCTGTAGAAGAGATACAAGAATAGGGTATAACCTAAAAGAAAACGTGGTTTACCCATCAGTGAATAGATCAGCTAGTATCAGGTAAAGCAGAGCAGCAGAAAATAATATGTTTTACCATCCTCATTTCTGAGGAAAACTGTTCACTGAGTTGATTTCTGTTCATGGTGTAGAATTTCTTGTTGATGCAACAGCATAAATGGTGGGATGAACAGGCTAATGTGTAGGCTCTGTCGACAATTGGAATTAAGCATGCATCCATTGGCGTGGGGCCATAAGGGGAAAATATAAAATCTTTGCAGATAAATGATCATGGCCTCTGAGTTCATTTCTTGGCGTGCACCTGCCAGTATTATAGTGCACATTCTTGTTCGAAGACTATCTTTGGAGGTAATGTGGGCTCTTCACCTCAATTTTTATTATTATTCTTATGATTGTCTCAGGGCTTTGAAGGGTATTAAGAGGGGAAATTCATGGTTGAGGGTATTATACCATCTCAGCCTCTTAATTAAGGACGCATGGAAGCCAATCCCAACTAGTTTAGAATTTAAGTGGGTATATATAAGTTTGAATTATTATGCATCTGTTACAATTTGTAGCTTTGCCACATGGCCAAACTCGCTGCCGTATTTGTATCTTGTGTTAATAATTCCGGGCTTTTGAGCATTACATTTTTCCGAATATTCTCTTTGAGAAGTAGATTTAGATTTGCTTCAAATCTGATTATTTTTGTGTGAAACAAGTATTGGGGCTTTGGGGTGGATGTTTATGAAGAGCTTTCAGCCATCGAGTCAAATTCATTTATCGGCTTAGGTTGAATCTTTTTCATTTTTTATAACTGGAAACAACAGAACATTTAACAGGTAAAGTTCCCTCTTTGCATTTTATCTATATCAGCAGTCATGGTGTTTAACCTCTGCCATAATATTCAAAATTTTGTTTCTGTTCTTGAGGAGATGCAGTGCATGCTGCTGACATATCCTTTTCAAGAACGAGTGAAAGAACCGCGAACAAACACATATTTTTGTTTAGTTGTGCACATTTCTCCTAAACCTGAGTCTCGCAGTTTCTGAACTTTTAACCGTGTACAGCCAAGCTCTAAAATCAGTCTAATGGTGACGAAAAAAGGGAACGGGGTGGTTATTGTTTTAATTTTTCTAAATATGTTTAAGATGATGACCATTTCCTCATCTTTTGTTACTGTTCACAGATGGCTTCCAACGTTTGGATGCATCCTTCGGCTTTTTATGGTTTCGCTGCTGCTACATCCCGAGGCGAGAAAGTTGTAGTTGCATATCTTCTTTGACAAGATAATACAAGAGAAATTCTGAAATGTTTTCTGTCCCCCTTTCACTAAGAGAGTTACAATATATATATACATCAAGAAGTATCAAAACCCTTAATTCTAGCATCTAATAAACATAATCAGATTCTTTAATACTAGGCCTAGACAATAATTGAGATCTTTAGAGAGAATCCAGGGATATACAGCTATGACAGAAATTAAACAAAGAAAGAAGAATATAGTGACAGCTATGAAAGAAATAGAATAAGAAAAGGAGAATATACTGACAGCTACAAAAGAAAGACTAATAGCTATTAAAAAAATGAAATAAAAGAGAATATATTGACATTCTTCACTGCCACCCCCGCCCTGTCCTCCTGTTCTCTCCATTCTTCTTTATTGTACTCTGTACTCTTGGACTTTGACACGATGCTTGGGATTCGAAGTAAATGACCACAGTTTCAGGATAGAGAATGGCAATGAGGATCAGATACACGAGATGGTTAAATTTGGTTTGTCTACAGATGATGCTTGCAGCTAAAGAAGTTTCGAGTTCACAGTGATGGTTTCTATCCACTCGTGGGGTGTGATATTTGGATTGAAGAAATGGGTGTGGCAGCCTCGTAAATTGCAGGCTGATATCAAGAAATTATCGGAGCTCTTTACTCCAAAAAGATGAGTTTACCATGTTGCAAAATTGCAATCACTCGCAAGAGGGGCAGAGGCTAAAGTCTGCCCCGTGCTCCTTGAAGACTTCTCCTTGCAGGTGTTGATAAAATCATCTATCTGGATTATCCACACACGGGCGCGCGCACAAAAGAACTCGCTAGATATTTTTTGAGTCAAATAAAGTGAACCGATTTAAATCAATTTATCCTCATTCCGTTCTGCTTTATTTCCTTTGTAATTCACGAGTTTCTATACAAGTAGTCTGCTACAGAAGCCACGCAAAAAGCGAAAGACAACACTCTTCCACGCAATTTGCCTGCACACAGAAAAGGCCCGCCTCTTCAATTAAAACTACCATGACATATACTAGCATCATCACATTTAGAAACCAGCTATTCACTTCCACATGAAAGTTCTTCGTGCGAGGTTCTTAACCAGTTAATCTAGTTAGCTTGGAATGAATCATCAGAACACACCAGTGCGCCAACATGCAATGCCAGCAATCAATTCAGGGTACTTTGGCCCTCTGCATGATCGCAAATCTTCTTCTACTGGCATCGTCAACGTGCTCACTGAGTTTCGCCAGGTGTGCCATTCGCCGTTTCCAAGACTTGGAGGCCTCTACATGATCCAGCTTCTTACTCGAGTCAATCAGATCGTCATTTCCAGTGGCTTCAAAACTGTTCTTCGAAGGGCTTCCTTCTGATGAATCTTGGATTATCTGTTCCAAGGTCTCCGCCACCTGACTCATCTTTGGTCGATCTTTTGCGCTCTTTAACAAACAACTGTCTGCTAACCTGGCAATCCTCCGAGCTGCACTCATAGAATACTGGTTTTCAAGTCTTGGATCCATTATCAAACCAAACTTTTTACTATCAGCAGGGAACTGCTTTACCCATTCCAATAACTTCTGCTCCACTTTCGGCCTGTTTCTTTCCAACGATCGCCTGCCAGTAAGAATCTCATATAGTACCACACCGAAGCTCCAAACATCACTTCTGGCTGTGAGATGCCCTGTCTCAATGTAATCTGGCGCAGCATATCCATATGTCCCAACTACCTGTCAGCATAAAAAGAATCCCATGAGAAGGATGCAGTCGGCATCTAATGCAACAAACAAATGTTCATGATACTTACTGCTGTTGAGACATGCGTTCGTCCAGCCATTGGTCCCTCCCTAGCAAGCCCAAAGTCTGAAAGCTTCGGTTTCAAATCTTCATCTAATAACACATTGGAAGTCTTGAAATCTCGATATATAACCTGCAACATCAATTGCGAAAAGGAAGTAGAAAAAGGTAAAAAATCGAAGCACAAACTAAAATCCAGAGGACCTGAACATGACATATTGCATGCCAAGTAGTGAATATGACAGATTAGATGAATATTTAACTAACACCATTACTTATGGGCAGAATCCAAGGACACTGAACTACAGATTTAGACAGAAGGAACCTGTTATCAAAAGTTTTAATGTTGCAACACTTGTTGCTTCATTCTTCTTACTGTTGTAAAAGGTACCGAACTACAATCAAGCCACGGGAATCACATGATTTCAGTTCATAAGAAAGGTTCTTCTCTAAGATTTTCTAGCACAGGTCAAATTCAGATGCCATAAAGCCTCGTAAAAGGAGGTTGATCCACCGGAGAGAGATTATAAGGTTCATTAACCAAAGTTCAGTCCTCTGGAAATTCTATGAAGGAACCTACAAGGGCTCTCTGTTTGTATTCCCATAAACAGCACTGATATATGCAGATGCGCGTGCGCACAATTACTTATCAAACATGTTTTAGACGAGAACCTGAACTTCCAACCCTTCATGTAGAAAAGCTAATCCTTGAGCTGCTCCAAGTATTATTTGTAATCTTGTCTTCCAGGGAAGCACAGGATATGCCTTGTTGAAAAGATGATCGTCTAAACTTTTGTTTCGCATAAACTCATACACAAGAAGTCTCTGGATACCTCTTTCGCCATCCACGGCACAGTATCCTAAAAGTTTGACAAGATTTGGATGCTCCAGAACACCAAGAAATTGAACTTCGGTCACCCATTGTTTATGACCCTATGAGAAACAGAAAAAATGAATAAGCAGTCACCACTTGAAGAATGAACTTATAAAAGATGGTTACCAGAACATTAAAGTGAAATTTGAACTCAAGATGGACTTGTCACTAATATTCAATCCAATTGCATATATAATCTTATGCAAACTCCCAGGCTTAAAAGTCATACCTGGAAGCCATCTCCGTTAAGCTTCTTAATTGCAACAGCAATAGGGTCACCTTCTCCGTCAGCAGGCTTGATTGAACCTTTATAGACATTACCAAATCCACCTTCCCCAATCTTAAACAGCCTACTGAAACCATTAGTTGCATTTCTGAGCTCTGAGAAAGAAAAGACTCTCAGATTATGAGCCTTCTCTTCATACATTTCTGATATACCTCTCTGTGAATTTTCTGAGCATGAAGAATTGATCATCCCATCAGTAGTGCATGAAGAATCGTCGGTCTTCGTTGTACTCCTCTGTTTCAATTCCGGTGCTGATCTTTGTCCCCTGCTTCTTGATTTGTCCTTAAAGTAGTACTGAAAACACTTCATTTTTTTTAATTTTTTTTTGCAACGTTTTTTTTTTTTTGCAAACTTGAATGAGTAGAACTAGTGGTAGGGATCTCGTTCAAATGCCAAATTTTTTGCCTGCCTTCAAAAGCTGATCTTGAAAGCACAGAGAACAAAATTCACACGATCAAGAAAAAAGGTATCAGCAAAGCTCCAAACTTCAGAACATCGACATGATATCAGAGTGAGATTGAGTAAATCCAGACAACCAATAAAAAGATTCACAACAACAAATGAAAACACACAAAAAATGGTCAAAACTTAAAATAACGCGAACCAAAATAAGAAACAAGAAAACATGGGGAGAGAAGAGAAATTGGGAGGTTTCACGCATGAAGACAGCATATGGAGTAAAAAGAAGTAAAAAGAGAAAACTAGAGATATAGACATGCAGATATTCAAATACTTTTACCAAATAATAGAGGTAGGACAGACTTCCATGGATTACTTTTCTTGCTTTGCTTCTATTCCTTTTGTTGAATAAAGAAGCCTCTTTTGGCTTCTCTTTTCCTCTCGATTTTGGTAAACCATGGAGAAGCTTCGATGAAACTTCAGAGCCAATAGGGTTTCAAAAAGATGAAAACTTTCTTCTACGTTTTGTATCTGTTGGTAACGCTTTGAATTCTGAACCCTGAGAACTACTTTTAGTTTCAGGCAAAAAGCTTGCTCAGATTGACCTGTCTGGATTTCTATACACACACAACTATGTATGGGGTCCAAACTGAATTATTAAGTTAATGGGCATCCCTTTAATGGTCAAAAGCCTGGTTAATCAACAACTTCTGGTTAAAAACAAAAACTTAAAAAAAAATGGATCCTTGTATTATGTGTCCTAATTCGATTCGAAAAGGATTTGTTTTTAATGGAAAGAGTTAGCGAGATTAGAATAAAAAATTGCTAACAACTATCAAGAATATTCGAAAATCTGTTTTATCTTAAATATAAGGTTGTGTACATCTTCAAGGAGACTTTCTGCTCGTTGAGATTTAAGATCTTTATGAAGAGAATTGGAACCCATAAATCTTCAAAGGGATGGAGTGAGAATTCAAGAATGAAAGAACAAAGACAATCGGCACATATAAGGCAAAAATGAAAATAATGGAATTAGTTTTTTTCATTTTTCTCTTATGAATAGTTTTCCAAGCTTTTAAGTTCTTTACGCAATTGCATTCGTGTGATATGTTTTTTAAAAATATATTGAAATAATTTTTTTATATTTTTAATATTGCATGAAAAAATCATAAAAAAAATCTAAAAATATTAATTTGATTTTTTTAAATAAAATTTGAAAAGTATTTTGTTGGGACTAAAAGAAACAATTGGCACCATGAATCAATTAAATGGGTATGAAACAATTTTACCTTCAAAACCACCAAATTAACCATCCAGGGAAAATCTTCCAGTTGGGAAGTGACAATGGACAAGAGAGACTTAATGAGGTCATTCTGTAAGAAAAACTTCAAATTAAATATTTAGTTTTGAAAAAATAAACAAAGTAAAGATAGAAGGTGTGGACTTTAAACCTCGATTTCACCTACTTTTTTGTAAGATATACCTGGAACACGTCCATGCGAGTTGGAAGTATTCGAGTTCTGTCACTGTTAAGAAAATGTCGAGAGCCCGTTAGATAGCATGAGATTGACTAGAGATTCCTCAAGCAACAGACAGAACTGACAGCATCTAAGTGTCCCCATGCCCATGGTCAACAACGTTTCTTGCTGGCAGGGCACTGCTAAATTATGCATGAAGTCTTTTTCTATTAATTATGCTGATCGAGTTGACAATTTAGCTCCATAGGCACCAGAAGTTTTTTTCTTAGAAAAAAAGAAGCAAGACCCTTCACGAAATGTATGGCTCATCTCTCTCCGGTGAAGAGGATATAAGCTCGATGTTACTCTTGCAGAGAGAAAAGGATGAGGTAATTCGGCAAAGCCGATTGAATATCTTATAGAACTGAACCAATAAAATTTCTTAGTCAAATTTTAATGCGATAGAATAAACAAATAGAAAATCATGGTTTTTTTTCATTTACCTAGTTGTCTAACATTTTTACAATGTAGTCCCTGCGTTTGAGTGTTGATTTTCCAATTAACTCATCTTTATCTACTCTCTCTGCTGTTCCAACTAAGATCCGTCTCTCTTCATTATGCCCACCCACGAGATTCAAATCATCGATAGAAATAAAAACCCTAGCAATAATGGATTCAACAAACTTGAGTTTAGATTTCTCGTTTCTCATAAGTGGATTCGACTAGAAGGAAATAAATGTTGCTGGGCCATCGTGATGATTGTAGAGATTTTCTTGGTATGTCGTGAATGTTTGAGGAGAGAAGGCAGTGGTCATTGTAGTTGTTGTTGTGGGTGCACCAAGAAG